ACTGAAACCTCTAATGTACATCCATATATGGACATTTTCTTGTTGCTAGTTAGTGGTGTTTTTAATAAATGACCGTGAAGGCATACAATGTATCTAAGCACAGAAGCTAGTGGCAGGGTAATATCCCAGTTTTGTGGAAGAAGTTTGTAATCTATCTCCTTTCATGACTGGACATTGTCCAGCCTGATGAACTGAATGGTGATAAAATCCAGCTACAGTTCAGCAGCCTAGCCTGATCAGTTTCAACAGAGAACATAATAACCAAATGACAAAATGGCAAAGGTTATTTAAACTGGAAAATTTACAAGAGATAAAGGGTGAATTATTACCATCTATACACGACACCAGTGAGGTTACTACTCAACTTTGACTGAGCTCTTTGCATTAACTTTTCTAGGTCAAGCCATGGTCTCTGCCACAACACCCAGAGTCTCCAAGGAGGTTACTTTAACTACACCACCAGTTGTAAGTCACTTCTGACTTAGTAAGGCTTTATTTAATCAACAAGAACAAATCCGATTCCTACATATACTTTATTTGCTTGTTTAGATATACTGTTCTTACTTTTTAAAGACGGAGGATCTGGGAAATAGGATATTGAGAGCCCATGGCAATATCTTTGGAGGTAGAAAGCACATAAATAAATCGAAGAAAGTAGAGACAGCTGCTTAACACTACACACAAAATGGCTCCCTGTAGGGCACTAGGCTGACAAGAGAAACACAGAATCATTTGTCCAAAGTTTTCCCTGAAATCAGTCTATCCGTCACTAAACATCCAGCATATGTTGAACCTTGGGGCACCTTTGGAAACTTCCGCCTGATAGAAAACTTAATTTGATGCCTGATGTGTTGTTTCTCCAGAGGACCTCCGAAGTGAGTCCTCCTGTCGTCAGTAGTCAGCGGGATGAGGACCAAAGCTTCCATACCCCGAAGTCCATGGAAGTGTTGAGTTTCCTGCCCAATAGGACCATTCCTCACAACACTGCCAATAACCTCACACAGGTCTTGGAGCACAGATCAACACGCACACAAATGTACACATGATACATTTGCAAAACCAGTTCACAAACAGACACAATGCCCACCCATCTGCATATGATGCAAAACTCTGTGATGTCCATTGTTTTTCCACCTAGGGCTTTCTCAAAAGTGTAGAAGAAGTGCTGTCTTCTCCAGGGTTACCAGAGGTAAATGAGTTCACGTTGTTGTTGTGCAATATTAAAACATGACATAATGTAGCATATGCATTTTAGTGATTACTTTAATTCAAGGCACTTGCGAGATCCATGAGTTTGAGATTGTAACGCCATATTTTTGCCACAAGTGGTGCCAGAAGCATTAAGAGTATCTGATAGTGTACCCACACAGGATTGCTGTGTGTAGTCAGTGGTGCAAATTGTTCAAGACAAAACCCCTGTACAAACACAGCGCTTAGAATGTTACTGGAAGTTGTAGCATCCAGTACTGTCCACTCACCCTAGCCAAATCTCCACACACACGCAAATATGCTGCTGCTATAAGAAAGACATTCAGCACAAGTGTGTAGTTTCAGTAAAATGTGTGCTCAGAACAAGCATGGTTTTTTTTGAGCAAGCTGAAACAGATGTTCATGTACAAGAATGCAAAACTTGGACAGCAGCATTCAGTAAAGCCCCTTGTGATTAGTTTATATAGCCTGTTAGGTTGCTGTCAGTTTTTTTGTACTTGATCTAATTTAAATAAGTTAATATTCTGTTTTATTATTACCATTGTATTGTAAAGTCTGGATGCAAATGTTTGTGTAATATAGTGCATACTTCATATTTATAACTCATGTTGTTAGACTATGTAGCTTTTGAAAGAACAAACAAACCATTTTTCTACTTCCAAATGAAGAGATAAATTTCTATGAAAAAAATGCACCTTTGCTGAATTCAGTGGACATTTTTTTTTTGCAGTTGGTCTGGTGTAGCTACTAGCTTGAATGAATGTCACTTTCGGATTTTTCTCATTAGGGGTCGCCACAGCGAATGTAGCTACTAGCTTATCGGGCTTAATGTTAGCTAATGTTTAAAACCTTTATGTAAATATTTCTGTATAATGGCCATTACAAAATCAATTCACTGACTTAATGACTCTTCTTTATTTGTGCTATAGTATTAGAGCTAATGCTAAAAAGTAGTTTAGCATTAAACATGATCCCATAATTGTCATAAGTACTCAAAGCGGCTGCCACCCAACAGAGGTTATATGTTCTTATTTGTTGGTTTATTGTTGCTCATAAAAATGGGTATTCCAGCTTTATTTGCACTCCTATAAAGTTGAGAGATTCACAAAAGCCAGTTTACAAAGAATGGTTCAAATCAAAACTGAAATATTGGCAGAGATATCCTGACATTTATTTGCCATAGCACAACCAATAGCATTATTTAATAGCTTTTTCATGCCTTGTGATGTTTTTCAAAGGCTATCATTTGTAATGCACTCATTGTATTATACATTTTTAACCTCAAGACCTAATGACATCACCATGTTTATTTTGTTAGACTCTGGAAAGTTCCCTCTGTAGCCACGGATAACATTATACAACTGTTACAAAAGTACTTTTCATGCCAAGTAAATTGACCTTTGTGTGTAAAAATCAGTGAAGCAAAATCATCTCATTAAAGAAACAAATAAGATATTCTAAAAATGTGAAATGATTTAATGGGTCATCCTGAATCAGTGCTGCATTCAAAGCAAAGAGTGTTTTTTCTTGGTTCATTGTTGAGCAGCAGTCCACCCCTGTGGTCAGCGGGCTGATCGAGACCGTGGACATAGTGATGGAACACATGGTGACTAACCTGGAGCCCAGCTCAAACTCTCTCATCTCCCTGGGTGGAACATCTTTTGTTGCAGGTCAGTACGGTATCGACTTTCCAGAAGGTGACTCACTGTTGTAGTTTGTGTAGACATGGTTAGAAGAGCATCAGGTTGATATCATCAGTTTTCTTATTCAGAAGACAAATACAGGTCAGATAAGCAGGGGTCAAGCCCCCCCACTTTGGCTCTCATGGGTGTGGATAATAATCTGTTTGCCACTAAGCTGTTTTTTTTCCCAGGGGTTGCTTGACATCTTTGATCCACCCCTGATAAAGCAGATTGGCCTTGTTGCTTGATTCTCAGTTTGTTTTTCCTCAATGGTTCTCACGTTGTCTTATCGCTGACCCCCTACAGATTACTCTCTGATGAAACTCCCACAGAACTACAACCTGCCACATTACCGCTTCCCCACACAGGGCAAGAACTACATCTCTGTTCCTGGGGAGGCTTTCACCATGCATTGTAAGTGCAGATGTTACAGATATTCAGTTACAAAACTGGCTTTCCCTGTCTTAAGGATTTCCTGTATATAAAAAATAGTAGCTTGGATGAATGTGAATACTGCACATTTGTCTTGCACTGATTCTGCCAAGAGAAAATGATCCAGCTAGGATGCTCTTGTTATTGGCTGGTAATTTATTATGCTAAATTTAGGACTGTTAATACACCATACAGTGTAGGACAGGAGTGCCATTAGAGCGTTTGTGTGGATTTACTGTGTACCATAGAAAACCAGCTATGACTGTAATGTTTGGAGTTACTCTTTTCTTTAAGACAGAAAGACTGAGAAAGAGAGAGAGAGAAAGAGAGCAGCACATTTTCTCCACCACTTTCCTCTGTCATTAAACAGAATGGATTCATCGCGGAGTGAGAGAGCAGTAATTACAGTGGGCATTAAAACTGTTTGCTTGATTATGTGTTCAGGTCAGATTCCCTTGGTGCCTCCTGGTTGTTGCATGCACTGTGAACACAGAAATAAACTGTTTACTAATTCATTAAAAGACTATTATTAGAAATGGAATGCATGTAATTGCTTGGCACATTAGAGCCAGGACCAAATTAACTCAAAGCTCTAAATACCTGACTGTATGAAATGCTCCAAAGAAAGTAAAGGGAATCCTACAACAGGGTGTATTTGTATACTTTAATATATATGTATATATATTTTCCTTTTCTCTCTGTTCCTTAGGGAAATTGTACAAGCAAACGGACTACCTCACAATCTGTTGTAGAACTTGCTGGGTGGCATTCTCTTGAAATAATTTTGGGAGGTTAAAGATACTCCTGCAGCATGGACACAGCACGTTTGTTTGACATCAGCAAGCTTTTGTTGTCAGTCAGTGGGTCCCTGGTAGAGAGCCTTTGATGGAAGCAACAGGAACATTAAGAATTTCCTCCAATTTTATTGTTTATCTTGCAGTGCTGGGGAGGGAGCGAGCTGGATGATAGGTCAGATTAGGGGAGGGGGACCAGATTTCCTGCTGTCCTCATGAGGTCATGTAGAGGTTTCATATAATTTCCCAATATCCGCATGCTTTGCGGCCTTCTACCTTTCTTCCATGTGCGAGTGTACAGCTGTCCTGTTAACCAGCCAGTGCCAGTGTACGGCAGCAAGGCAGCGTTAATTAATTTCCCTTCTTTGTGAGGATTTTAGCAGAACTGCTTTACATTCCCAGTCCTCTGCTGATGTCTTTCACATTTAACTATTGCTTTTTTTTTCTTCAGCTCAAACCACCATTGTTGGCCTCTTCTACCACAACATGCACAGCTATTATAAAGAGATCAGCCCTCTGAAGACAAGGTAAGAGGAAGGAAAAACAGCCAAAGACAAAAGGTTTATTCATCTTAGTCCAATTTATTTGGGTTTTGGCAAAAGATTTGTCCATGAAAATATGTTCTAATCAAAATTACTGAGTGTAAATATAAATTCCAGCCACCTGAAGAAAAAGTCAGGCTTCTCTATTTGTATTTTCCATGGGAGAAATCAGGTCCGCTGGAGCTAAGGCGCCCCCACCTCCTGAGCCTAAATGGCTGTTCCCTGAGGCCAGGCCTTTATCTGTCCTCTGGCCTATCTCTCATCTCACCACTCAAACTCCCCTGACTGATAGACCCTGCTATTAGCTCTACACCCCACCGCCCAACACCACCACCACCGCCCTCTGTCGTTGGACTAGCTTGCTCCACTTGTGCTGCAATGTTTACCTTTTACCAAACATGACATAAGAACAATTAAACAACAGTTTATTTCTCACTTTATATGTCAGAGACGTCCACATACAAACCATAAAATATGTGGCAGTGCATTTGGTCATGTTTGTGACTGATTGTTTTTCATATGGCTGCTGGGTTCTGCTGTGGGCGAGAAGGTCCCTTTGCATCATGACAGAGAAGTGATGTTACATATCAGATGATCTTGAAAAACTATTGGTGCAGCGCTGCTAGTTGTCAGGGTGATTAATCATGTAGACAAATGATCAAAGTCCCACTTCGATGCTATTGCTCTGGGCCTGTCTGTAACACTTATGTGTTGATGTGAGTGCAAGATTATAGTGTTTTTTCTGACTTATCTGACTCTGTCTGTTTACGTCATACTTAACCTCTCGCTTTCTTTTGTTTCTATCTGTAATGTATGTTTCTGCCAGCATTTCTTCCTGTCACATAACCTGTCTCTTTTTGGTGTTTCAGGATTAATGAAGCTGGACACTTCAAGGATCACAAGATCCAGGTTGCCAGCTGTCTAATCTCTCTGAAAGTGGAGCCTTCACCAGCCCTGTCACCAAACCTCTCCGGGGCACCACTCATCAAGATTGTGCTCACACATGTCCTGGTAAGAATCAACTTATACAATGCTGCAGTTTCTTATTTGACTCATGTCTGATTTGGCCATTTAATTTCTGCCTGAGTCAGTCTTACTGGGAAGATGGGGTGTTTTTCCAATTTGCAGCTGCAGTTACAGGGTGTGGGGCACTCACCTTATCAACGGAAAGAGGGCCGTGGTTTGCTTGTGGTTACAGTAAATGACCACACCATATGAAATCTATCATCTCTATTTTTGGCATTCTGTTATGTAGATGAGTGTGTATCACTGACGGAGGCTTGTGCAGCTGGGCACTTACCAGCACAAAGAGCAAAGCCTACTTTGTTTTTCATTAGCCTGCCTAAAATGTCCCTCGCGGAGCATGTGGCTTCCAGAAAGCAAACTGATTATGGACATTTGAACTGTAGGCTTACGGTGCTTTGAAACGAACAATAGCTTTCTTTTATGAACAACATGTTTCTAGTTTTCTGCTTCATGGTAGGGGCTATGCCAGTTTTCCATGGGAAATTCAATTGAAACTCATAATGAAAATGTACTGAAATGTGCATTGCATTAGCTTGCTTCCATTTAAAGTCATAAATATTTCTGTGCACTTCACAGACATATATTTATTTTAATGTTTTGATTGTGTTTGTAGTTTATAAGACAATCTCATACAGTAGAATTAATGAGGCCGTTATCAAAACCAGTTGACTAAACCCCAAACAATTAAGCTCTATTTAAGTTCTGCCAAAATTATTCACTATCTGATGAAGTGGATTAGAGGTGCAGGTTCTCTTTCTGCTTTCTAAGAGCACACATGAAAGCCACACAGCTTCATGAAACCATGGAAATATTGTTTTGTTTGCCTTCATTTTCCCTGGTGAAATAAATGTTTATGCTGCAATTATCTGGCCTGCTTCCTGTGACAATGATTAGCATGTTTGTTTTAGCAGACACCAAGGGAAAGGCTTATAATCTCCTTTGTTATGGGAGTTCTGGAGATGCTCACTGTCTATTGCATTAAGGTGTTTCTATTTTTATTGGATTGCTTTCACTTCTGGTGTGAGGATAAATCAGGTTTCTTACATTCTTTCCTCTCGACCCCATTACAAATATTTTATTATATTTATTACAAGCACACACTGATTAGAATGCACAATTCCAATACTTTCCAAGTTAACTTGGAGGGTGATTTATATTTAGAGTTGCATTGTAATTTGGCACACAGTGATTTTGGCTGTATACACAGCCAGAAAAGGCTTGTTTTGTTATATCTGGATTGCAGCACAGACCTGTGGTTAAATTCAGTAAAAAACAACTATTTTTGGAGTTTTAATGTCTTTGGCAGCTTGTGGATACTTATCACCTTCCTAACTCGGAGGCAGGGAGGGTGAGACCTTTTCCACGATTGTTTATGTCGCTCTTTACAGTCTTGCCAAATTAAACCTCAATGATGTCTTCTCATGTCACCAGTTCAGTGGCCTGAAGGAAGTGATTTGCAACTGACCTGTCTGTTTATCCCTGAGAGTAGACAAGCACCCAGTGACTTCATTAAAACCTAGCAGGGAGGCTGAATGTTTCTAAAGCAGAAATATGTCAGCGTACTGTACTCATCTGTCTTTTCGTGCTGTCATGGTTACAACAAATACTCTGTGTACAAATTTTGTAGTGTACAAACAGTCACCTCCTGCCATGGCTCCAACCCAAAAGTCATCCATTTTCTCTATCTGACATTTGCTATGATAAAGCATACCACACCACACAGGTCATCATGACATCATGACATGGACCACTTACTGATGGTCAAAGCCATGCGGTGGGTGTCTGAGTGACCTTGCGCACTTGATTGATGACCTCTGAAACAGCCCGCTGAGGTCATTCCATTCCCAGCTGACTCTGTCAGAGCTGAGATGCCGCCATCTTGCATTATCTAGTGCGTAGCTGGTGTGATACCCAGACAAGGTGTTATCAAGGCTGCTGGAGGCCCACATGCTTTCTCACGCCATTCAGCCGTGGTGCTGAGTGGACCCTGGCTCCATCACTGATTTATTACTGTTGTCTGACTCCAGATGAGTTTGAGAGGACCTAAGGAGAGAAGAGGAGAAGAAAAAGGAGGGTGGGAGGCACTGGGGTCTGTAGTTAAACATTAATACATACATAATAAGACCAATACCTCCCCCTGCTCCTTCTTCCATTAAAGCATCACACACAATGGACTATAAAGTCAATTTATAGGGTCAAAACAGAGAGTATTTGACTTTCTAAGACTATATAGCAGGGTGTTAGCTGGGTGGCTTCATAAGAAGGGCCAAGGCACTGTGCAGGACAAGGTGGCAGCGCTGGAGAGACGTTGGTGACCTCTGTCTGTCCCTCAGTTGAATTTAATTTGTGATGAAATGTAGAATTACAAATCATAAACAGTAAAGAAATTGTTTTACATTTTATTATTTGATTTTTGGTGGAAAGTTAGATCAGAAGATTGATACCATTCACATATCTGTCTATTAAATGTAATCTACAGCTAGTGGCGGTTAGCTTAGCCTAAAGATTAGACACAAGGGGATTCAGTTAACCTGGTTCTGTCAATAAATACATTCCTGCAGGGATTATGCGCTGGACCACGTCTTGGCCAGCTGTTTCTTGTTTTCAGTGTTTGTGTTAATCTAAGCTAAGTGGCTATTAGCTGTAGCCTCATATTTAATGGGAAAACATTTGCCAGAAAACAAATAAGCATGCTACTTTTCTACACACACACACTGTAAACTAATATGATTATCTCAGAAAAAAGTAAAACAAACAAAACAAAACACAAATACCATTACTGAATTTATCATGTTGACTCAGGCGGCCAACTATTCAAATATTCACCAAGTGACTGGACAAAAGGCTGTTAGTAACAAAGTTTCTCAGTAAGTTTTGTCAGTTGGTTCCCTCCCATTACTTAAGGAACATGAAAGTGAGCTTGTTGAGAAGTCAGTAAAGAGGTCAAGGGCAGAAAGGGAAACTGGGTGGTTTGTGTTTACAAAGACATCTAGGTTTCTTGGAACTTCCTATACATGCCAAAAATTGTGGATTAATTGTTCAGCGACTTTAAACACAGAAAGGCTATTTAATGCTTTCTGGTATCCATGCTCGAAATTCTTACTCATGCTCTATATGCCAGAGCTGGTATCAGTCTTTTGTGTCACAGTAATAACTGCTCTGTATTTTCCAGTCTTTTTATAATTTCCTTCACACACCCAGCTTAAACCTTGTGGTCAAAGACTCTCCTACTTCACGCTCTCTTTCTCTCTCCCTCAGTCCTAGCCACCCACACCCATCCATACACCAACACACATAAAAAAAAAAGAGCTGTGCGAGCCAACGTACTGATCAATTGCAGATGGAGGTCTGGCTATTGCTGTTCCTTTCTTGCCAAAAGATTCAGATTTACAGTTCCTCCCATTAAGTGTCCCCTCGCTATCAGCACTGCAACCTCACAACCATCTCTTGCTAAGTGCTGAACAGAACGGAGCTTAAATCCAGACAAAAGTAGAAAAGGTCCTGATCTGTCTACATGAGCATATGTATGAGCTCAGAATGTGAGATACGTAATGTTCATGAAGAATTTAAAAATCTGTGACAAAACTGCATTAGAAATTAAAAATTGTGAATGTGTAGAAAACATTGAGAATGTCTAATTAACATTTCTGTGAAAACTATAGGTTATAAAAGGCAAAACAAATAACTTTTGCAGGGTATATGCAACTGTTGAAAAGCCTCAAAAAGACGTGAATTCAGATCACTCATAAGAAAGGTCTTAAAAGATTTCAAAAGTCTGAAATACTTTTTCTTGATTGCTGTAGTCAGTAATTTTAGTGTCCAGTTGCAGGCTGTCGTGAGATGTTATAGGACAGCTATAATCTAAAACTGGGGTTATTGCAACAGTGAAGCGTGCGCACAAGTTTTAGTCAGCATCATGTAAGTGCTGTCGCTAGGTACTGTAGCGAGGACTCTCATCTTCATGAAAAAATCAGCCAATTACTCAATAATGAAAACAATTGCTAGTTTCAGCCCTTATATGAATAATAGATCATTTCAGACCCTATCTAGTACTATCATGAAACAGGTATTAGATTTCATTATATATGTTATTAAAAAGTCTTGATTTTAGCTTGGTGAACCCTGCAAATATCCAGCATGTAAATACTACTTTAAAACTGTGAGTAAAAAAGTGTGAGTAAATAAAAACATATAGCCCTCAATGTACGAACATGTCGTTCCTACAGAAACAAGCCAGTGGGCTTTGGGAATTAAACACATGAATTCATACATGGACAACCTCATCCATTTTCATGTGAGTTAGTATTCCTTATTTTATATTTGAACACCCACTGCTCATCTTATCAAAAACAAATCTGTGACTTTTTGGATTGTTTCATTGTCCCCAGTTTTCCCTGCATGCCATCAACACGTCTTGTCATTTTTGGCCTCTATCTCAGAGCCTGAGCTGAGACCACAGCTGCGTGTCATAGTACATGTCCCCTGACAGCATGATTTCACTCAAGGCCAGTTGTGTTTTACTGCACAGATTCAGAATCTTGATCCAAATGCTGTAGGTGGATCAGCTTAAATCAGGCCTCTGATTGAAAAGCCCGGTTACAGCGACAATGAGATCTGTGCTCCATCTGAGCCACAGATTGTGTCACTGCTGTGCTTTCATATATTGATGTTAAGGTGGTTTTGTGGGCCGGTTTGTCTCAAACTCTGGGTCAAGGTTTGTGGCTGTTTTTTAGCTAGCTAGACTGAGTAATGTTAGGCTATACCTTTTCCAGACATACTGCACTAAAGTGTTTCTTCCGTTAATAAATTTAACAGCGGTCAATGTAGCTTTGGGGAAATACATGTATGGCCTCTCTCTTGTTACACAGAACAATTGAACTATTGTTAAACCCTGGCTAAGTCTTTGCCAGACTTTCACCCTCTGCACACCTCTCCACAAAAAAGATGATGGTAACTGTAATAATGTTTTGTTGGACAAGTTTCAGTGCTGTTATGGACCCTGCTGACAGCTGCACCATTAAAAATTGATAACTATACCAAATGCAGAAAGTCCAGTCCAAATGACACCCTGGCTCTCTGTGTGCTCAAATGTTTGGAATGTTTGAGCAAGAAGGAGAAGATTGCACATACTTACCCACACTGTTGTGCAATTTTTCACTGCTCCTTAAATTTAACACAACCAAAGTCTTTATTTAGACTTCTATTATCCTGAAATAAGCCGAACTGTTCTTGTGGCTGCATATTATTGCACCAGTGCCTGACTGAATGTGTGTGTGTGTAAGAACTTTTTCTGTATACATATTTAAAATTTGCTGATTATGAATACAAAGCTGCAAGTTAATCAGTTTGAGAGTTTCGCCTTAGTAATCAATGTAATTATTTCAGGCTGAAACATATGTGTGTGTGTGTGTGTGTGTGTGTGTGTGTGTGTGTGTGTGTAGTTCAAGTCTTTGAGTTTTATTTCTACCGGCACTAGCTTGTTTGTTTTAAATTGACTGCTGAAAGAACACTGATGCGTGGTGTATAACCTTCTCCATCTTTTCTTAATTTGCGCCTTGCTTGGGAACCAGCTGTAAAAAGCTAAGATTTAAAATGACACAGTTGCACCATTCCCTTGGATTTGAAGAGCCATATGCTGTAGGTGTTTGCTTAAACTAGCTCAACCACAGCGAAGCCCCGGCTTCCAGCTCTGCCAGTCACAGGAGGTCTGTGAGACACCACAGAGGACACAGAGGCTTGTATTTCTACAAATTATTGGGTTCTGTGTGTCAAATATGATATTATATGATATGCCATTGTGATGCATGAAAGTGTTTATTTTCATCCCTCATCATTTTACCCAACAGGCTCAACACAGCCATTACAAAGCAAAAACAGTTGGCATGCTTTGGGTTATAGGGATAAACACATCATCAAAATGAAAACACGCTGAAGGCTGTTTGCTCCCAGTAACAGTTGATTGGACCGGTGGTGTAAATGCCTGGTAAGGTTATGTTACCCTTAGCAAGTCATCAGGATGTATCATTAAACATCTACTGTGAAAACACTGTCATATTACAGGTATGATGATGACATGGCAACTGAGAATTGTTGAAATGTTGCAACCTGATTTACAGTGTTTTTACAGCTACAGCTGGTTTAACTGAAATACTGTTTAGTAACACCCAAGACTCGCTCCATAGCTGCCAGTGGTGGAAACCAACTCAATATGTTTACTCTAGTACCACAGTTAGGTTCAGTTTGGAAAGGTTTTACTTGAGTATTTCAATTTCCATTGCTTCTCTCAGCTCCACTACATTTCAGAAGGAAACACTATACTTTTTGCACCACTACATTTATCTGACAATTATTGTTACTTCTCAGGTTAAGATTTTACATTATAAACATTAGAATTAATACAAAACATTGTCAAACATTAAACCAGTGGTTCCCAGTGAACTGTGGTTAAAGTAAGCATTGTAGCTGGAGTTGTTGTTGATAGTTGCACAGGCGTAGTAACTTAGAAGCACCAGAAACACCTGGACTTATCAGTCTTTCAGACTCTTTTTCCTTTTATCAGTATTGTATACCACTGTCCTTTCACTAGCTGTCACTTTCTCTTCTTCCTCTTCTCCTCTCTGTGTCTGTTCTCCTTATGGGGGTGTGCACGCAAAGCTCGGCCAGATCTCAGAGTGCATTCAGATTGTCACACCTATCTGCAGATACCAACTTGAAAAACACACTGAATATACTACAAACAGACAACTACTATATGGAGCACGGCCAGACAGCTCCTTATATGTGTGATGGTCTGTTAGGCATTGTATACTTTAGCTTGTGTCTGGAACATAGCATGGTACATATTGTTGTTAATAATGGATTGTTTTCCATGAGCCAGGGTTTACCTTTTGTGCGTATTGTGGATAATAACTTTTACACAATGCAAGTGTAGAGAGCAAATATGACACCGTAAAGCAAGGTTTACAGTATGCCAGTTACCATCTGCTTTCATTTACACGCAACAAGAAAAATGAGTTACTGAAATACACATTGGACTAATAAATTCACCCAGTGGACTGCTTGCAGCTCCTCTAAGCTGGCTGTCGGCTCATGATGACAAGATGCATTTATGGCATTTTCACTCCTCTAAGGCAGGACCCACTGTCCTGCCTCCTCGACTGGGCCATGTGAATATACATGTACTATATATGTCTACTGCATTCGTCTTGAGGGTCTCAATACATGATGACATAAGAGCTGCATGTGCAAAACAGACAGAATGAGAACGGTGATTTGGTTGCACAGTGAAGTCAATGTATTGTGCTGTGCTTTGTAATATGAATCACTGAGCCTATGGGCCAGGAAACAAACAGTCTGAATGTCAGTTTCTTTCTCACTTTTTCCAGAAGGAAATAGTGCAGACATAGTGCATCTAATCATACTCTTATTTGGCCTGAGAGCCAAGTTGGGGAGTGAGAAGAGGTGTGCAGTATCTTAGTATACATCCAACCAGCCAATGGAAGTGTTGTTTTCTTCAGATGACAGATTGAGGAGGGTAGTGGTTTGACCTGAAACCAGGGCCAAGCCCTAATTACTGCATTCTTGCACTGTAGCCATTAGCTCACTGTCTCTAGGGGACTCCACATCTCATATTAGGAAGACATGGAAAAAGTGATCTATAATTAAATAAGTTTCTTAAAGACAGTTGGGATTTTCACTTCATGTAATAATCTCTTTTGCTGAGTGTCAACCTGTGCCTTGTCTGTCACTGAGTATGAGCTCAGATTTTTGAAGCAACATATCTTTACTGTACAGTTTTTTTTTTTACTTTAATTTGTCAAGATCTGTTGCTTCTCTTGAGGATGTAGATGGAAAAAGAGCCAGTGAGCATTAAGGAAAGTATGTTGCTTATTGCTGCCTAAAATATTCCATGATATTTTCTGGATCAAAGCACATTTTCCAAACAGGTTCCTCTGAGTTTTGTGACAACAAATCATGTAATTTAGTGTGCCAGTACAACCCAAATGCAAATGTTTTTCTATATAGCGTTAGACATTCAGAGTGTCACACCATGCCACTATAATGGGCCACATTTACTGCATTTTTGCTGCAGCATGATATGAGTACATTATATATATATGTCTGTAGGTGGCGTTCAGCTTTTCACAGGTACCATATACTGTATCACATACGTTTCTCTCTCAGTTGAAGAGCTCAGTTTTGACCTTTCTTTTTCAGACTAAAGAACAGCAGGACCAAGTCCAAAATCAGAGCAACAAAGTCTTCCTCTACTGTGCCTTCTTGGACTACAGGTGGGTTTGTGGTCATGATGTAGTTGCAGCATGTCACAATTATTCATTCAGATGTAGAGCCAAATAGATTTTCATCTCCAGCGTCATTGTTGACGCTGCATAATCTTTGTCCTTAAGGTCTTAAATCATAAGAAATGACCAATAATTTGGAAAAGGTGTGTTTCCTTTTCTTTCAAATTGAAAACATCCAGTGTTACATGTGTTGCTGTTTCAGTTTAGTGTTTCGTGAGCAACAGCTCTCTGTAGAAAATATGGTGGTACAATAAATGGAGCCAAAACGCTCTTTGGAAAACATAAATCATTTTTAAAGGGAGTGTGCTTTAGTTGGATTAGAAGGACGCCTCTCCATACTCCTCTTTGCCCTGATTTTCAAGAAAAATGTGAATTATTGGATTGCCCTGTCAGATCGCCCTGGTAGATTCAGCAAAGAAAATTCCCTGTGTACTTCCCTCAATGGATCATGTTGAATAATCCCTGTCAGCAGTGTTCCTATAAAACCATGTCTTTTTTTGTACAGTATATTTATTCTTCATTCTGGTATTGTTATGTCACTATTTTTAAGCACATTTGCTTGCTGAATAATACCTAGTTGTCTTTTTCAGTTCAAGGGAGGGCGTATGGTCCAACCAAGGTTGTGTACGCTCAGAGGGAAATATGACATACTCTGTGTGTTTGTGCAACCACCTCACCAACTTTGCCATTCTTATGCAAGTGGTGCCCTTAAAGGTATGACCCCTTAAAGCGGCTCTCATAAATAATTCTTAGATTAATAATAACAGATCAAATTACTATATTATGTGTAATGTCATATGTGTTTCTCCTAAAGATGAACCCGCCTAATGCTATCACTAGACTCTACAGTTCCCCTCAGCCCCAGAGAGTGTTCTAACTCCTTTAGCGCACAACTTAAATGTTTTGGTCATTCCCTGCTGCTCTCATCAGCCTCATGTCCAGCCACAGCATGCGGCGGTTTTCAGCAAAAGAACTCTGATAACCCGGACAAAGTTTGCAACTAGGGGGTGAACAGGCTTAAGAGAACAAATCTTAAGAGTCAAAGCAAGAGAGAGTGTTGGACTTAAATTCACCAGGTGGCCAGAAACATGGCTCCAAATGAATGCTCTGTATTTGCTGGATGTGCAATATGGGCTACTGTTTCCTAACATGGTTTATAAGGTGATAATTTGTCAGCATTGTGTTTGCAGCTTGTTGTCCTGCTCCCAAGTGGCCAGAAGAAACCTTTATATTTAAAATTGTATGTTTATTTTAGGTCTATTTTACTGAAGATATGAGTCAGGGTTTCATAAGGAAGGGCATCTGGCGTAAAACACGTGCCAAATGTCAACATGCGAGTTGTCAGTGTGATGATTCGCTGTGGCGACCCCTAAACGGGAAAAGCCAAAAGTGACTTCCTATTGAAGACATTTTGACACATCACAAAACCCAGTTCTCATAACACACATGGTCCTGGTATTGTGCATGCTGGATTATTATTGTTATGTGGTATCACTTGTAGACATATGCAGTCACAATGTCAGTTTCACTGGTGGTTTTATAGAGAAGTACTCTGGACAACCATGATCTTTTTTTTAATTTTTTTTTTTGGTCACTGTACAGGTCAGTGGTCTATTCCTCAAGGACCACAATCTGACAAGAGGCCAAAACCTGTCCATTTGAAAACATCTGAGATAATATTAATTTGCTCTTCTACTCTGAACACCATCCTGAGCAGTATCTTTTGTTTACACTATCTGCCTTTTGGAATGCTAAGCCTGCATACACTGTCACCACAGTCTAACTATATGTGCCTCAGAGCATGGTCAGCTTCCACGATGGCTTCTTTAAATAGAAAAGAGGGCTTCTTATTGCAGCTAAGTGGGCCAGTACTGTATTTAAGGAGCAGAAGTCTATTTGATGCTATACTTCCCCTTAGACAGTCTCTAATTAGTGGGCTGCCTCATCCCTCAGCTGTGAGGGAACATCCACCATATCCCTTTCTGGAGGGCTGAGACTCCTCTGCCCTTATAATGACAAGGCACATGTGAAGACAGTTAATGGAGAATCAAATCCAGACCCTCAAAATAGCATGAACTCCAAAACAACATCAATTGACTAGGCCTTGTGCCATGGATATGTGGATACGGAGAAACACAATAGCCACTTTCACTTTTTAGCGTGCTGGACATTTTGCTCATCACAGGATTGACTGACAAGAGTGACAAACAACCTTATCTCAGTACAGTTCAAATGCATACTGTACTTAAAAAAATTAACAAACAAAACAATACATTTATGAATTCTTGTGAGGCAGAAGTATAAGTGATTCCAACTTAATTTTGTTTTGTCTTTGACCCTGAAGGGGTTTTAACCATTTTGCTAAAACTTTATGACATACAGTATACATATATAAATATTCTTGTGCAGTCCTGGAGAGTAGCTAGCCTGAAGAATACTAATAAGAGACAGCCTGGTGTTCATCATGAGCTCTACAGGATCCCTTTGAATTTCCTGGTTAGTGGTAGAGGCTGAATGAAACAAGATAATCCAGCTTTGCATGTGTATTGGTGGCACAATGTCCTGAACCACCACATAGATTAGGTTAGATTAGATTCTACTTAATTGTCAGAAGATACTTCTAAAATTTGTAGACAAAATAATTTTTAAAATGTTTTTATTTTTATTTATTTATTTTTTACATGTCTTGTGTATTGTTGATCTCATACACAGCTCACCTCCAACCACCAGGTGGCACTATCAACCATAGGTTATGTTGGCTGCTCAATTTCTGTCTTCTGTCTTGCCATCACTCTGGTTACCTTTGCTGTCCTGTCGTGAGTATCATCAGTCAATTACAGTCAGATAACGTTTTATAGTGTTTTATATTCAACTATCACACCCTTTATCAAGCAATAGATTGATACATAAACTGCAAGGCATTTAATATTCACTGTATGTTAGAATCAAAATCAGAATGAGCTTTATTGGCCAAATATGTTAAATACACAAGGAATCTGACTCCAATATAGATGCTGTTGGTGTGCTTTGTAAGACATCGGGAAATAAAACATAAAAATAAAAATACATTAAAAAAAAATAAAATAAAAATGTGTGTTATTTCATGAATCTACCTGTGTGGTTATAAACATTGTACTTCTGCATACAAAGCATGCATCTTATGTTTTATATATATATATAGTGTTACCACAGTACTACAGCAAGTTAATGTGACGTTGTCCTCTTCAGGTCGGTGAGTACCATCCGTAATCAGCGCTACCACATCCACGCCAACCTGTCCTTCGCCATCCTGGTGGCAGAGATTTTACTTCTTATCAGCGCTCGCTTCGACCCAGGCACGGTAGGTACACTACAGATTATGTTGTTGTAACAGTGGTTATGATGATGAAGGCAAAAAAAAAAAGTGATGATGATGCCGATGATATGTCTAACAAACTGAATGAAATCTTAAAGATGATGAGGGTGACATGAGTGCTTTGTTATTTATTCTAATAGTTTGGGTGTAACATAATAAATAATTAGAAGTTGATAATACACAATTAAATGTGCCAAAGAATGGATGAGCATTCTTATGTAAGCTCAGTATTCACATTAAATGATGTTTAACTATTTATTTGGCCCCAGTGAGGGAATATCAGGCCATTGCTTCATAAATCCTCAAAGCCCCATCATAAGCAACACCTTTTTATAATTATTTTGTACACTGTTCTTCAATATTAACCTCTCATAACATGAACATTCTGTATGAGACAGCCCCTCCACTCTGACCTTAAAACAGATTATTAGTCATATCCTCATCCAACCAAATACCTCTACTGAATCTTTCTAATGGGGGATAAAAATCCCTCCTGCTGATTTCTATGATTTAAGACCAAGCTGTGTCTTCCATGCTATTCTGATAAGCTTGCACAACACTGCAACACATCTGGAGTACTTTGGCGACACCATTAGGCCCACAAACTTATCCTCGCCTAACTATTATTTCCACCTCCCTCAGTGTTGGCACTTTGGTGTTTTTAGAGCTCTAAAGGGCAACATATCTACTGGCAGACCTAACTGTCTGTCTCTATGTTATCCTATGTTTTCTAAGTAAGCCTCTAGTTCTCTGTCTTCTTCTTGGGGGCGTGTTCACCTTCAGTAGGTGAGTTGATCGCTGTTGTTGTGGCCACATTAAACACTTGTAAGACAGGAAATAAAAGTTGATTCTGAGTAGAATATTTATGACTTGGCTGGAGTTTTGTATTACTTTTCCTTAATAAAATATTGCGTAATGAAATCGGTTCATTCTTTTTGAATAACCCTGTATATAGCCTGCACGTAGGGTGCAGGCTGTGCAAAGATGCCCCTGTGACCATCCAGCACATAACAGTGGGGTGCAAGATGCTAGCAGGCAGGGCATACATGGAACACCATAACCAAGTGGCTGACATAGTGTACAGAAACATCTGTGCCAAGTACAGGCTGGAAGTCCCAAAGTCAAAATGGGATGCACCTCCAAAGGTGGTTGAGAATGACCAAGCTAAGATCCTGTGGGACTTCCAGATACAAACATACGAACTGGTTATGGCCAACCAACCAGACATAGTAGTGGTGGACAAACAGAAGAAGAAGGCCATAGTGATAGATGTAGTGAACCAAAGTGATAGCAGCATCAGGAAGCATCCTATCCTTATCCAGGCAAATAGCAGATATAATATCTGCAATGTACTGTATTTGTTCAGGTTATGCAGTGGCCGGCCCAAGTAGAAAATCACATCTAAAGCCATGTCTGCTCAGTTGTCCAACCACCATCACTGTTCTACCAAGACTGTCAATCAACAGAAAACTATACCAGGAATGGCCCCAATGAATCAAAAACTGTATTGTCAGCAATGCCAGTATACATTCTATGTGGATGTAAGTGTGAAGCAAGTCAGACAGGGTCATCAAATGGGCACCCTCTCAATAGCTGGTGTCTTGATGAGTTGGGCCCACGACATGGAGAAGGCTCAGCAGTGTGTTCCAACATCCCAGAACCACCCTCCCTAAAGAATTTGGCTTATGTGACACTTAAATGATGTACAAAGTGAAATGTATGATACATAAATACATTAGAATGTTTTGATGGTAAATGCCTGATTTTGTCCTCCACCCCAGCTACCTTGTAAGATAATGGCCGTCCTTCTTCACTTCTTCTTTCTGAGTGCCTTTGCCTGGATGCTGGTGGAGGGCCTCCACCTCTACAGCATGGTGGTCAAGGTGTTTGGCTCGGAGGGAAGCAAGCACTTCTACTACTATGGCATTGGTTGGGGTAGGTCTGATTACCTGTCTTTAAATAGCAGACGTTGAAGGAAAACACAGATGATATATCTGGCATATCTGCTTCAGAATAAAACAAATATAACAAAGATACCTGATGTTACTGGTCCTATATTGTTTATGAAAAGTAAATAACTATGACCTGTTTTTTTAAATAAATCTGTTTTGAGTTACATTCCAGCATAACCATGGCCTCTCATGATCTCAGTGAACCAGAGTTGATGGATAGATGAAAAGAATCTGGGACATATGTATACTGTCTTAGGCTGCTGGGGAATGCACAGACATTTTCTTCACATGCTGAACTCATTAGTGGAAAAACAATCCCTTTTTTATTACTTCCTCTGGCCGGGGTAATTCTTCATTTGGCCAACTGCAAATTATGTGCTGGAGACTTGTCTGACAGCTAAAAGTGCATTATAGTTTCTATGTACATAAAAAGCAAATAGTCATTTTATAATAAATACACATTGCTGTTAACTGTGATGAAGGCTGGTGACTACTTTGTCTTTCATTTCCTCCTTCAAAGTAAAAGGTTTCCTGTAGCATAATGTGCAAGAGACCTTTGGGCTTCACAAGCCAAAAGATCAAGGCATCAAAATAAAAGTAGCTATTAAGTAGAAATAGGTAGTTAAAAGTACTGCAGATAAATAAATCCACCACTGGACTTAAAAGTACAGTATGTGCAATGTCATCTGCTTGGATGGATGGAGTTTACCATGTTGGGCAATATAACAAATGCCATGGTGTTTAACAGGCCCATAAGGCTGCTCTTCAAAATTAAATGATGCCTACCTTTAGACAACACTGTGGAGGTCGAAATAACATGTGAATTATTTTGTAATCACTATTTGGCTTTGCTCTGCCTACGTCCTACCAGGCTGAGGATTAATGTTGGATGGTATTACTCATGTTGTAGGGACATAAATCCATTGATACAGTCACATTTTGGGGACTTAACATCCTCATGGGCACAAAAAGTATACAAAATATAAATCCCAAAGATGAAAACAAACGCATGTGTCTGTTTGTCTGTCTGACAAAACTGTGGCATTTTTAGCACAGCACTCACTATGGAGAAGTGTTTTTAAGAAGAGGTTCTAATTATGATTTATCTTGTTTGTTTCATGTGGACTAAAATAACTTTAATGATTAATCAATTATAAAAATAAATCACTGACTAATCAATTCATTGACTACTTGTTGCAGCTCTCAAATGTGTCACTAAAGCAAATTGTTGATCTAGTAGCCCTGACTTGGATATGGTCCCCTATGTCAAAATCTAGTGCTGCCTTGCAGGTCCCTGGCCAGCAGTGAATCTGGGGACGTGGCAGTCACAGTATATGATATGCATCTTAATAACACCGCCATTAGAACAACTATTCTACACATTTAAGAATAAATGTGTATTTATTATAGTGTAATGAGCAAAAACATGCACCACAAACACAATTAAGCTGCCATAATATTGCCTGCATGTTCTTAAGCACAATATGGTACATTCACAGTGCAAGAAGAGTGGAAGAAATAGAAAAGTCAACAGGGCCCCGCATCATATTTTTGCCCCAGAGCCCCTTAGCAGGTTATTCTAGTCATGGGTACTACAGTATATGACTTTGGTAAAAGTGTAACATGTGTTTTTTAATTTGTTTATAATCAGGCTCCCCCCTAGTGATCTGTGTGGTGTCTATGACATCAGCTCTGGACAGTTATGGAAAGGTTGACAAGTAAGTATGACCTGCACATTAAGGGTGGATTCACTAAGATTTTACACACTGTCTGATCAATCAAGTGAAAATGGACATGGCGTCTCTCTGCTACCTCAGCCTATAGCGCTTCTGTTGCCATTCCAGCTTTTCTAATCTGTGTTGTCAAAACACGGTCCGTAAATTAGCTCCCCCTGCTGCTTAACAAAAGTTATCGGATGTGTTTTTCAGATCGCGAGTAGTCATTTTAAACAGCCAGCCACAGAGGAGCTCTCCTTGGCTTAAGGTCCAAAACATTGTCTGCCTGACCAAAAAGGCTGCATTCTTATGCGGAAAGAGAGTGGGAAGAATACCAAAAACCAGGGTTAACATCAGTTTGGCTTTTTGAAATGGAGAGTGGTAAAAACAGTCAGAGGACTAAAATTTGATTCAGATGTGATGTTCGTCCATCTGGATGCCTATAACACTGACAAGTTTGTTAATATTAACAACCTAATATGGCCATGATTTTTACTTTGTACTGAATTAGTATCATTTTAATTTGGGAGTAATTCAAACTTTGTGTAACGTTAGTAGTAACCAAAGCATAGCACTAGATTGCCAAATGTACTCGTTAGCCAGCTAACACTAGCTTCGGACTGGAGGAGTCTTTTCTATAGTTTGTCGAGTTTATTTCGTCACTAGGAAACAGGATGTGATTGGAGGAGCAAAGAGCAGTTAGGAATGGCTTATGGTGTTAGTTTGATTTGAGTTCCACTAGACCCCCTAGCAATTGAAAAGAAATTGGGTGTAGCTTTGAAAACAAAAATAAAGCATATGGGTTTATATGGAATTCATTTTATTATATTAAAGCTGGTATTGTGTAAGAATGACATCACGTGTGGAAGAAAGTGGAACCGCCAAGTGTGTTATGTTACTATGTCATTCCTGATTTGCATTACAAAATTACACAATTGTAACATTTCTCTTTTTGCTTTCCTCTTGCCTTTGCTTTCTCAGCTGTTGGCTATCACTGAAGAATGGAGCCATTTGGGCGTTTGTGGCCCCAGCTCTGTTTGTTATTGTGGTAAGGAATTTGCAAAAATGTGCATTTATTGTTATTTAGAGCCCACAATTTCTTCTGTAATTTGATCTGCAATTTAATCTGTATTTACTGTAAACTTGTACAAAACCCATTCACCGAGGAACGAAACAGAATCCTACATACTGTATCTACCATGCCACTGTATTTAACCTCCTTTCTGATGTCCAGGTTAATATTGGCATTCTGATATCTGTGACCAGAATCATATCTCGAATCAGCGGAGAGAATTATAAGGTTCACGGAGATGCTAACGCAGTCAAGTGAGTTTATTTGTTTTCATAATCAGACTAGCTCTGTTTAAGTAATTCAGTAGTGGTCTTTTATTCTAATATAAACATGGTTGTCTCTTATTCTATTTCAAGGCTGACTGCAAAGGCAGTGGCTGTGCTCCTGCCTATACTCGGCATTTCATGGATCTTTGGCGTTCTTGCTGTCAACACAAGCTCACTGCCATTCCTATATATCTTTGCTGTATTCAACTCATTACAAGTTAGTCTTTTGCCATAGGATAATTATATTGCTAATGCTAGCTGTCATTTGTGAATTTCCTTTTAAAATTTGCATTTCCTTATCTTTAGGGGTTCTTTGTCTTCTTGTTTCACTGTCTTCTCAACTCTGAGGTATGGCACTAACTATATGATGTCATGATAGTCATTTTTGATTCTTCATGTCCAGTGAGAGAAAAGTGTTCACTCATCCAACAGCTCAATTTAAACTATAGAATCTAAACAATTTACTCTTATTTCTATAAATGGGCATTTTTCTCTGTTGCAGTCTGGCTTGGGTTGATGGGATTAATATGCTTGTAAATGCTTTGTGTGGTTTAACAGTGGAGTGGAATTTGCCACCAGTGTCTGTTGTTCTTTTACTAATGCTTTGTGTGGTTTAACAGTGGAGTAGAATTTGCCACTAGTGTCTGTTGTTTTTTTACATCTTTCTCTAGGTCAGAGCTGCTTTCAAACACAAGACCAAAGTGTGGTCTCTGACCAGCAGCTCTATCCGAAACATCAATGTGAAACCCTTCAACTCGGACATTGTGAGTGCTAAAACAAAAGTGAGCTGTTCATTTCTTAGCTGTCTTTGTCTAATACTTTACTTCCTGTCTCCTAATCTAGATGAACGGGAACAAAGAAGGTGTGACTCCCACCAAGATGAACACGTGGGACAAAAGCACCAACTCAGCCAATCGCATCGACCTCTCTGCTGTGTAGAACAACAGATTATTTCTGTCTGTGGCAGCAGAGCAATCGAAGCTCACAGTGTAAAACGACAAACACTGGCCAGAGTATAATCCCACCACCATGTGTGATGAATCGGTCACTTAAATGAAAGTGATACCAAAGACAGTGTTGTGTAGCTGAATAATAGATTCACCAGTGTTAAAGACAAACAGACTCTAAGGACTGTGCCTTTTCATTGTCTTATAAAAACATGTTCTGTTCCCAAATGCAAGAACAGGGATTTCTAAGAAGGTTGTGAAGTGACAAGGTGAGTGTATTAGTGTTGTGGAGCATCTCACTTCGTCTGTTGCATGGTCCGTCTGAATATTGCAGTTGATTTACTAAATAACAAGAAGTTATTTAAAAGAATAGTTTGACATTTTGGAAAATATATTTATTTGCTTTTTTACTGAGATTTAGATGAAATGACTGATCAGTAAACATGAAGCTACTGCCAGTAGCTGGCTAGCTTAGACTAGAAACAGGGAAAACAGCTTGCATGGCTCTGACCGGTTCTGCCTACCTGCACCTCTAAACCCCATTATTTAACACAATATATTTCATTTATTTAATCTGTACAAACACAGAAGTGTAAAAATGCCTCACTGTGGTTTTGAAGTTATGTGCCGGCCTAGATAGCTTTGTTTCCCTCTATTTCCACATTTTGTGCTAAACCAAGCTAAATTAAGCTGCAGTTGGTGGTGGATTTTGCATTTCACAGGCACACATAAGAGTAGTTGTGATCTTTTCATCTAACCATCAGAAAGATGACAAATAAGTTTATTTACCAAAACTATTCATTTAAATCACATTGATCTGTTTTGACATGTAATTTATTTCATACAATAAAATAGTGTAGTTAGTTTGATCAGCTTTACTAGTAGCAAATGTAACATTAAATTTAGATTTGGATAAAAAAAAGACCAAGAAAACCAGTGTATTTTTCTGAAATACAGTGTTAGATTTATGTTTCAAAAACAATGACCTAATGGTTCTACCATCTGATAACAGTATTCATAATTACAAAGACCAATTTGCTTATTTTACATAAATGTCTCGTCACACTTTAATCCAGCTTTTGGGCCAGCGCAGCGCAATGCCTGCATAATAACAATGGTTGAATTAGCAGTGAATTAGACCCTTTGAAATTCTGATACTGTATTTATTTATTTTGTGATTTTGAGTATTGTATCATGTCTTCTGCAAAGTGTCAGCAATCAGTGTGTTCACATATTAAAATTAATGTTTATTTGTGTGTTTTCTTTCTGAAAATGAACTGCAGTTTATGCTTTTTGTGGAATAGTGAATGCTGGTTATGTTTTGGACACAATTCTGTGAAGTTTTATAGTGTATTTAGTTAATTCTGTGGAGAATTTACTTCACAAATTCATACATATGGAATATGTTGTGCGGCAGATGTATTTGATAAGGTTATTGCTTTTTTCTTAACATACTGTGAGAATAGAGGGAAGCGACACATTTTAAAATGTTATTTTTTACACTGTATCAACGTTAAGTTCCCTAAAACATGATTTACTGTAAATCACTTTATGCTCTCTTCATGTCTGATAGTGAAATAGTTCAGTATTTCTAAGCCTGCATATTTTAATGATTGTTGGCCTATGGTACTATGCTTTGTGCTTCCAATTAGCTTTATTAAAATGTTTATGACAAGAATTCAGTGTCATAATCATTATTAAATTATTTTCACCATCATAGTCACATTTGTGTTGGCTGATTCAACTTATGCTATTTCTGCATACATGTGAATTGCATTATTATTAATATATTTTTGTAAAAGATGGCTTTGAAGAATAGCAGAAAGTTAATGTCAAAGTGACTGATGTGGAAACATCCCTCCTTACATAGGCAAATAACTAGATGCAAAAGTATTGTCCACTAATGAATTCTTAAAACAAAAACGTGGTGTTGGTACCACTGTTTCTGTTATGTTTAGGCATTGATGACTTGAGGCTGTAGACCCCTGCCCTTAAAGTGTCCATGGCATGCTTTTCCTTGTTTTTTGACTTATCTACAATATTACAATGGTGAATTCTCATCTTAGATGTAACCTAAAGCTAAACAACAGTATTTCTATGCAGAAGTAACTCAGTTTATATACAGTAAGTGTTGTGAATTCTCGCTCACGAGACTTTTTTATCTAACAAAATTAAGTATTACATGATAGTTTAAGGATTTTGTTGAATGGACATAAAATCCAGGCCATTGTGCGTTCATGTGAGCTTGCCTGACATCCACCGGTGGCCCCACCATATTGGCAAAATGTTACATTGCCTTGTTTGTTATGTGTATTTCCATAAAGCTTATGTTAAAAGAAAAAGACATCCACTAGTGCCATTGTAAAAGTGGAATTTTTCAACTGCGCCTGGTTTTGTAGGATGTATTTTACCTCCTGCTTCTGCACTGTGACCAGAGGATGTGGAGAAAAATAGAGGGCCTGAGGTTACTGCATGTCCGGGAGTGTTCCTGGTCTAACCTACGATCAGCCGACCTGTGAAGACCCCAGCAGCAGTGACTGATCAGCTCATCAAGGCTGGATTCCCCCAGAGCACAGTACCTGTTTTTTTTGACTGCTTGAGGCCAGTGTGTCACAGCATGTGAAATGTTGCTGGTTAACCAGTCGATTAACAATACATGATGTTATTGTTAGTGCTACGCTACCTGTTAGAATTAATTTCACTACTTTGGGACTGTGTGTGATCATTGTGGAAGAAGATGACCACTGGTTGGATTTACCGACCTTAGAGCTACTTGAAAGGGAGTGATGTTTCCAAAACTCGGTGAGACTTAACAGTAAGTTTAAAAAAACGCACAGTGCATGTCTATTAATGTGCTGTTTCTGTAAAGCTAGAGAGAATTGTTGTAAGGCTGGAGAAGCTACTGTGTCTGCATTATGCCAGTTAAAATATGGGGTTTCTCAAATACCTGCTTTGTTTAGAGTGTTACAAATCTCTTTTCACGGGGTACATATACAGGATCAGAATCAGCTTTATTGGCCAGCTGTGATGG